TAAGTTATGCTCCGGAAACTGTTTTCAGTTTTAAGGTCATAGTGACCTTGACCTTTGACCTTATGACCCCAAAATCAATAGGGGTCTTCTACCCAATATGGACAATCATCCTATGAAGTTTGAATATTGTGGGCCAAATGGAACTTAAGTTATGCTCCGGAAACCAAATTGCTAACGGACGGACGGACAGACGGACGGACGCCAGGGGGTATAACATAATATGTCCGAAATTCTTTTGGGCATATAATAAAATACAAAACTATTGTTACTAATATGGAATAAAGTACAAATCTTTTGTTATCAATATTGAATAAAATACAAAACTATTGTTACTAATATTGAATAAAATACAAAACTTTTTATGGAATAAAGTACACATTTTTTGTTATACATATGGAATAAAGTGCAAAATTATCATAACGTATATCGAATAAAATGCAAAAATATTTTAACTTAAATGGAATAAAGTGCAAAATTGTTGTGACTTCCATGCAAAAAGTTTACATGGAATAAAGTTAGAGATACATCTGTTTTGAATAAATGTCTTTTCACATTTTTGTGTACAATTTTGATTTTTTTCTCTGACAAAATCATAGCAAAAACAAAATATATAAACAAAGAGTTAAACTCATGATTCACTTACATCTACAATTAACATTCCAAATGCACTGAATTTGTTAATACTAAAGTTTTGGAAACATTGTCATTTTTCCATAGTATAACTACATGTTGTACCAAAATAGGCAGATCCAGTTTTAAAACAATTTGACCATCTCTTACATTGTTGCCCAGGACCTTTGATAATCCCACAAATACATGTAATGTATACTTCCAAATGGTGTACTTATCTTTCACAAGGGGTCATAACTCTTACAAAAAAAATCCATCAAAATGGTTAAGTTTTAACATACAAGTCATAAAAAGTTTGATTTAAAAGAAAATTTGAATTCACTCAGACATAAACAGATTGTAAACAGATTGCTATGTACAAGTGCTTCAAAGAATTAAAGCCATATCATCACATCAGAAAACCATATTTCAGCAGTATTAAAATATATATAACTTTGATTTGGAAGTGTTCGTTCATGGTATGTAACGTCTATTGGTATAAGGGAAGCTACTTGTTCAACAATTAAAACTTCTAATAAAATAAGGAAACTACCAAGTAATATGTACCAACGGAAAAGGGAAAATGATGGGGGAAGTTGCTAATCAAAGGGTTCTGCAATTCAGTGACCAGTTTCTCAGCTAACAACTTAAGACAGAAATAATTCCTGTTGTATTTCTTCTTGTTTGATGTGGGGTTCATTACCAAAATAAAATAAGTGCTGTTTGGTGTACACTATACATCAAAATGATTTGGAATTAACAAGCTTGGTGTTTACTACATAAAATGATTTTAGGTACATTATTTATACAAATTTGATGCTGCTTATTGTACACTCATTAACATAATTGTTGAATATTACTAAAAACAAATCTGGTGTTGTTTGGTATACATTACTTAAAATAATTAGGAGTACAATACTCAAACAAATTTCTTTGGTGTACACAACTAATAGGAGAAATGTAAAACAGCTAGCTGGTGATTGTGATACTTGTTCATAACATTCATCTATAACTTCATGATAAAAATTTTTCTAGTAAAACAAAGCAAAAACAAATAATTTAAACAATCACCTACATGAACCGGGCATATCAGAATAACAAAATTAACCTCCATAACACAATCATGATATCACATTTACCTCCATAACACAATCATGATATCACATTTACCTACATAACACAATCATGATATCACAATTACCTACATAACACAATCATGATATCACAATTACCTACATAACACAATCATGATATCAAAATTACCTACATAACACAATCATGATATCACATTTACCTACATACCACAATCATGATATCACATTTACCTACATACCACAATCATGATATCACATTTACCTACATACCACAATCATGATATCACATTTACCTACATAACACAATCATGATATCACATTTACCTACATAACACAATCATGATATCACATTTACCTACATAACACAATCATGATATCACATTTACCTACATAACACAATCATGATATCACATTTACCTACATACCACAATCATGATATCACATTTACCTACATACCACAATCATGATATCACAATTACCTACATAACACAATCATGATATCACATTTACCTACATACCACAATCATGATATCACAATTACCTACATAACACAATCATGATATCACGTTTACCTACATAACACAATCATGATATCAAAATTACCTACATAACACAATCATGATACCACATTTACCTACATAACACAATCATGATACCACATTTTCCTACATACCACAATCATGATACCACATTTTCCTACATACCACAATCATGATATCACATTTACCTACATAACACAATCATGATACCACATTTACCTTAAAATGGTACCGTACATTTATCTTTAACAGACTAGTCCCATCTTTCAATTTGGATAAAAACAATCATCAATTTCAGAGAACATTTCTTAATATGTAGTAACTGAATAGCAAACAGTGCAGACTATGATCAGATGATACTGAAGTACATGTACTACCTAATCTTGGTTTGCACTAGCTGCATAGGTAGAATCAGTTGTGGTCAGCAGGCTAAAAGATAACTCCTGCGATACTGAGCTGAGCAAATTTGGAAAGGGGTATATCTAGATATAGGTACTGAAACAAGTTTAAACAAATATTGAGACAATAGTTACAATACTGAGCAAAAGCAAGGTAAATTTCATATTATGACAGAAATAAAATTCCTAGGTTTTAAAGAGTTTAAAGTGGCATGCCTCCAGATGTAGTATACTAAATCTTCAAAAACTCAAATTTGAAAGAAAACAAAAATAATGATTAAAAAATGTTTAAATACCTACAATCAAGATGAAATTTTGAATTTTTCAAGCACAATATGACAGAATTTATAGGTTTTTTTTAATCCCCAGAATTCTACCATTTTATTAATACAGTATGAGAAATTTCTACGTATTTTGACAAACTTTAGGTATTTTTTATCAATAGCAAGTGTCTAAGGCTAGGTTAAATCACTTAATTTGTACAAATGTGAACTCCTTTCCTCATTATAAGAATTTATTAAGTGTGGAGGTGTGCTACTTTAACCCTTAAATTGGAACAAATATAATGTTTAAGTACAAACACAATTTTTACACCGGTATATATTTAACACAAATCCATGCGATGTACAATCATTTTAAAAATTTGTTTACCATACCATGGTAATTGGCACATCAGCCACAGTATGCAACAAATAGCAATTTAAACATTGTCTATATCACCAGTCCTATTGTTATATTACAAATAACCGTACCTAGTATATACATGTACATTATATAATCAGTAAATATAAACGTATGTGTTACAATGGTAGGAGGTTTGGATTGCAACAGAACTAAACCCTAATGTGAATGTATGGCAGTGAAGGCTAAAAATAACATTGACTAACATGAGTTAACCTAACTTGTGATAAAAACACAAACCAGACCATAACTATTTGTATTTATAAGATCCTAGTATCAATAATATCTTAATAAGTACATCAACCAACAGTTACTGTACTTGAAGGCAGTGATAACAAGTATGGTCCAGTCTGTCTAGAGAAATAATGTATAAAACGTCCTGAGTACAAATGACTAAAATATATTTTGTTACAAGACATGTTTGTTAAACATGTCTTCCTCCCCCACTGAAACCAATAAGCTATGTTACATTGTAGCCAGTAAGTTATGTTACATTGTTGCCAATAAGTTATGTTTCATGGACTTCCACCTGTTTCTCAGGTGATATTCAAACCTACCCAATGATATTTAATCATAGGTTTGTAGGTGTCAGTTCTTTAATTATTGATTAGACAAGATTTTCATGGTAAAGGCTACAGTGTCCTTCACCTTTGACTAACTGACTTCATAATTATAAGATTTTAAAGGAAAAAGGCTACAGTGCCCTTGACCTTTGACTAACTGACTTCATTATTATAAGATTTTTAAGGAAAAAGGCTACAGTGCCCTTGACCTTTGACTAACTGACTTCATATTTATAAGATTTTAAAGGAAAAGGCTACAGTGTCCTTGACCTTTGACTAACTGACTTCATATTTATAAGATTTTAAAGGAAAAGGCTACAGTGTCCTTGACCTTTGACTAACTGACTTCATAATTATAAGATTTTTAAGGAAAAAGGCTACAGTGTCCTTGACCTTTGACTAACTGACTTCATAATTATAAGATTTTAAAGGAAAAGGCTACAGTGTCCTTGACCTTTGACTAACTGACTTCATAATTATAAGATTTTTAAGGAAAAGGCTACAGTGTCCTTGACCTTTGACTTACTGACTTCATAATTATAAGATTTTTAAGGAAAAGGCTACAGTGTCCTTGACCTTTGACTTACTGACTTCATAATTATCAGATTTTAAAGGAAAAGGCTACAGTGTCCTTGACCTTTGACTAACTAACTTCATAATTATTAGAGGTCATCTATCAGTCCTGATCATTCTCCAAACCCAATCATAAGACTGCTGGCCAAAGTGTTCTATAGTAATTGGCTGGTCAAGGTCTGGTCTATGGACTATCCAACTGCATATACAAAGCAATTTCTGACCACATAATCTGTCAGGAGAAAATACTCTAAAACCCGGGCAAAAAGAGTCCATATGCTTTCTCTCATGGAGTCATTCATGTGTAAGTGTATGACAAAATCATTAAAAGTATCCTTTAACCTCTTTATAACCTTTGACCTTAAATGACATATTGACCTCATTTACTAATAATCAAATAAATAATCGATTTAATATGCATTAACTGTGACATTGAAACACCAAATGGTATTACCTAGTAAGTGGTTTTAACATATCTATAAATTCATTTTGTCAAAAATGAAACATTGTTTGAATAAATATAAAAATAACTAAATTTCAATGTATTGAATGTTTTGAAACTTTTAGGATAATTTAGGCTTTTACATATTTTCATATATCTATGAGATCATTTTCAATGGAATGGATTTACAGTGATTGGTCTGTCTAACAATTCACCATCATCATTATCATCACTTTTTTCATACTAAGCCATTAAATTTACTTTAGCCAAGTGCCATGAAATTTTTTTTTAAAAAAGTGACAATTTTTTTTCAAATCGTACAGTCTAATATAAATAAGTATTTCAAACAGCCTTAGTCATCCTGAAACATGTACACAATAATTTAAAGGTAGGGTCTAAGATACTGTCTCTTCTTGTGCCAAAACAAATTCATCGTCACCTTCATCATTTTCACCAGCATTACTACTGCCTGTATTTGACTTTGATTCAGGTTCTAAGACTTCAATAAGATAATAAACTTTTTTACTTCTAGCCCAGCTATATGTGTTGTCAAACCGTATAACATCTATAAAATAAACAACATATCTTTGAATACAACATATGTCCTCTAACTTAACACCAGAGATTAGGGACAACAAATGTTATCTTGCATACAACCTGAGACTACAAAACCATCTGATTTATACAAATACAAACCAAATTAGTTTTGAAACAATCTGAATTATTGATGAATTTCAAATGTGTTCTCAAAACAAATAATCAAATAAAGTTTTATATAACTTATTACAGTATAAAGATATGTTCGGTCATATATATTATTTATACATATAACTGAAGTCAATTTTTCATAAAATACCCACATAATCATGGCTAGTCATGACTTAGTGGTTACACAGTCCCTTTGTGGATTCTGAATAATTCTATTTGATAAAACAACCTAGCAACCTTAGAGGTCAAATATTCTTCTCATATACCCATATTGACATAAAATCTTTACTGGTCAGCCTGCTTTGCTCAATAGAGACACCATCAGACTTGTAATACAGGGGTCACTGGTTTGAACTTTGGGCAAGGTGAAATTTGTCTGTGACAATGAGTCTAATGATCATTTGTCTCTCACCTCTGATTCAGAAATAATGAGAAATTAGTACCAAATGTAGAAGGTCACTTGCAAATAGATTGGTTATTCCTGATTTGTCATGATGAAAAGCAGGTTACATGGAACAACTGCCGAGATATGGCCAAAAATGTTTTAAAATCAGCATTGAAACGAACCAAAACAAGTGTTTGTACAATTTTTTGAACTCAACGTAAAATATATAACTTACATATACCAGGCAGGTCACATTCTACAGCACCATCTTCAGGGACTAGATGACAATTTGATCGCTGTGTTGACAGAATCGTGTCCATTTCACTAGCTTTCATTCGCTCTTTTGATTTCTTTCTAAACACACCAAAGCCTATATCATATCCATCTGTCTGAAACTCATACCTGGAAAAAGAATTAAAAAAATCTCAATTATTTTCAGTACAGTTTCTTCAATATACACATTATGTAGTGACATATATACATTTGAAATTACAATTTGTCAATAAATTATTGCGCTTCTGAATTTATTTTAAAGTTCCCTCAAAGAGTCTGTTTAAAAGCAGTACTGTGACAATTACTATACAAATAGGATGACACATGCTATATTAATATACATGTGCAGAACAAAAGAAAGCTTTCTATTATAAGGCACTCTTGAAATAACCAAAAATAGATACAAATCTCCTGGCACTGCCTCAGATGACTTAATACTTGTAGTATACATAATTACAGTTACAAAGTTTGCATACTGGTCGGAGAGATAACTCCGACGCATAGATAACCCCGACACTTGATAAATATAATTGTTTTAGCTTTGTTTTTCAACAAATAAGCACATGCTCACCTAACAGTATAGGAACAGGACAGAATGTGATGATTTGTTATAATTTGGTAGACTTTTTAATGTTTTTCAAATAACCTAAACTTTTTGTAGGCAAAAACTGCTTCAAAACGTTCTTTTTACTAAATTACAGTAAGGTAGTTAGAAATGTATTGACCACAGGCCACTGACTTGGGAAAGATTTTTGAAAAATTGTTTAAATATTTACAAAAAATAGATAAACCATATAAGATGTAAAAATAAATTATTGATGCTGATTTTTCCAGTCATTTTTTACTTAAAAATTTAAGTGTCGACTTTTTCTACTGTTGTGGGGTAAAAAGACCATGTTTTGTATACCTCATTCAATACCTTAAAGAAGTACCAGATTCCATTTTCATACATAGTTTTTGTGGTGTAATGTAAAGTCTTTGAACTGAACTTTGTTTAGGTGGTTCAATATTTAAAATATACTGGAAGATAATTAAAATATTGCAAAAAATATGTGATTTAGTGTCGAAGTTATCTCTCCAACCAGTAGAGGATTAAAATATAAATAGTATTCTCCCTAATGAATTTTTAGTTCATACAGAGTTTATTTTAGTTTGTGATGTGTAAAAAGCTATAAGGTTATAGACACACTTTTGAATCTGTTCCTGGAACCAGTCAGTACTGAACAATGAGTGTAAAGTTTTTTGATCAAGGAAACAACAACTTGTCCCTGACAGTGTTTGAACCCAGCTAGCAACCGTTAGATTAAGTTAACAACTTGGCCATGCCACCGCATGAACTTTAGAAATAACACACACACAAAGTTTAAGACACAAATAAAAAGTTAAATAAATAATTAAACCTTATAACACTGTTTGGTTCATGGACTTCATACTCAAGTTGTAACGTTGATCCGCGGCCTATATTGCCTGTAACCATGGCATGATGTGGCTCTGCTTGGTTGTAATACTCTTTTGGAACTGTTCCACCTTGACATATCTGTAAATTAATCAAATGATTTTAAATTTTGTTAGTAAAAATACTTATGTGTGTTAAAACACAAAGTATGTCTCAACTTTTTCTGGGAAATCGCATAAGTTTATTAAACTGTATTATTTTTACGAAATTTTTTTTTAAAAAATATTCTTTAGATAATTTTTAATCCCTTAAATAAGTAATTGTCTTACATAGTTTTTACAGCGGGGGCCCCCTTCAATCTTTGAGGGTACACCAAAAACATGCTGGAATTGTTCCGTGAAATTTCTTTTAATAAAGCATCTTTTAATTCCCGAAATTTTAAAACATTTTTTTTGTTACCTTAAAAGATAAAGTAAGTAGTATTTTCAAACCCGGCCTCTAAAATTTATATTGACCCGTGATTGACCATTTTGCATACTACCTGTGCATATGACCATTTCTATGACCATGTGCATTTCTGACCATGGGGCTACTGGGCCACGTCTAACGACCCCGAGTGCCTATTGATAGTGTTTGCTATGTCTTAAAATTTTATTCTAAAAAAGATTTTTGTTTATGTTAAAAAACAAAAACAACTTTAAGAATAAAAGGGAGGTAACTCACCAGATAAAACTACAACTTTTTTAGCAGTATTTTCATGGAGAAAAGGTCTCACCAGTGACCAGATTATAGGAAAGATCTTTGGGCCTGAAAATTAAGCAATACATACATAAATTAAGCATACAAATATATACATAAATTATGACCTTTTTAAACAAGCTAGAATACCTGAAAAATTAAACATGACTGTATGTTTTGGTTTTACTTTATTTAAGTCTCTGAATTATTTCAAATGTTACCATATAATTTGATAATTTTAATGGTAATATCATTCTTATAACAGAAATGGCTCCTTTTAACAACCTTCTTATGCTGCCAGTGCAGATCAGTCTGCCACATCTGTGCCATCTTATCATTATCTACAATCTTTGCCAGGATGAAAGACAGACAAGTCCATTTATGATCTTTGGCATGGTATACAGGTTAAGTATTACTGAACAGTAATCAGTGACAATGCAAACTTAACATAAAATACACTGGCCTATGTTCAACACAGATATTTTGGGGCTTGTTTCCTTATACAAGTATATACCAAAGTGGACCCTTCAACTTCTTGTAAATACCTTGATAAAGTTTCCCCCACATACAAATACACATGAACTTTTCCGTTCTAGATGTGATGACTACTTGTCTATGCAACCAGCAAAGAGCCAGGCAGATGTATGTATCAAATAAGGCAAGAAGAGATAGAGAACCATGGCCCTTATATTCTATTAAAGATACATGTATACTATGCTCATCCTTGGGTGAAATACTTTTATTGTAGAAAATTATTGAAATCTACTAAATTTTTCCTGAATATGTCTAATTTAAACATGTGAAAGAATAAACTATGTTTGGGAAGTTACATTTCCTGTTACTTCTCAAATTAACTTGGTCTATTCTTATAAAAACTGTCAGTTTTCTTAATGACACTGTGTAATCATACTGTGTGTCGAGTTTAAAATGTAACATATTTTGTTTATTTTACATTTCAAAAGAGACTGTGTAGTAATTATCAGTCTTTTTCAACTATCATATTTGAGCAAAAAATATTTTTAAAACTGAAAGGAGTTAATGTTATCCTTTGATTTGTTGACTGTAAGAAGACCTGTTATTCTCACAAGGCTGTGTTAAGTCTCAGCAATCCTTTTCTAGCTTTTTTCACATTGAAAACACCCCTAAAAAAATACTTGGAAAGGACTAAAATCAAAGTAGGGTGATTTTATTTAAGAAATTAAGTGGTGTCAGGAATCAGTGTTATACATACTATTTATAACAAATACACGTCTGAGCACCTCCGGGTACCGGCTTTCAGCAGCGTCAACTATAGATAAGTACATGTCCACCGCTGGAATTATACAGAAAACCATGGTTATAATTACTGAAAAAACATATTCTTAAAAACATTATCTTTTGAACATATATTATATTTTTATTCAATAATTCATAAGTTTTAATTCATAAACAAAAAATAGATTTTCAAAATCTTTTTATTAGTATTATTTATTCAAATTATTCTATATACTTAATTAAAGAAAATGATAAACAAAACATTCTGAATTTAAAATCTGATTACATGTTATGTAATTATTCATTCAAATGCAAAAAAAAACAAAAAAACCTTTCAAATTGATTTACTGGATGTGAAAAGAAAAAAAACCCATCTTGTTCAAGGACTGATATAGCAAATATAAATGTATCAACAATCTAATTTGTTAAACAAAATATTTATGACATTGAACAATCTCATATACTACTAAAATTAACAACAATAAAATAAACAACAATTTAAATTTAGAAACCAATGTATGCTAAGCATAGAAAAAGCAAAAGGAATGCTTATTATATTTAAAATTTCAGAAACTGAACTGTATTACTAATTATTATAATACTCCCTAAAGTCAATTAACCCAAATTGTAACAGCCAAATGACCAAAGCTGTAACTGCCAAATGACCAAAACTGAACAGCCAAATGTCCCAAATTGTAACAGCTAAATGACCTCAACTATAACAGCCAAATGACCAAAACTTTAATGGCCAAATGGCAAAACCTGTAAGAGCCAAATGACCACAACTATAATAGCCAAATGACCCACATTGTAATAGCCAAATAACCCAAATGCCTAATGACCAAAACTCTAAAAACTAAACGGCAAAAAATATGATAGCCTAATGACCATTAAAACTATAGTAGCCCACCAACCAAAATTGTAACAGCCCAATAACCAAAATTGTAACAGCCAAATGACCAAAAATTATAAAAACTTTAACAGTCCAATAACCAAAATTGTAACTGCCAAATGACCAAAACTATATCAGCCAAATGACCAAACTTTAACAGTATCAAATTTCAGTATTTCTCATTTTCAAGTTATCTTTTTTGCAACAATCCTAATCGGTTTTGAAGCAAGAAACTTTTAACTTCTTAGTAATGATTATTTGAAACAGTGTAGAAAAAACAATGGCACCAGAACCACCCAAAACACATCTACATTTATATGTAATACATGTAACAGTGTGTCTAAAAGCAAAGGTGGTGTTAATGCTCATCTGTAAAGAATAACAACTAAAAGAAAAGTAATGGCTGTTATGAACTTCACTTACATTAAAATGAATAACTTTGTGATATATTGTCATTTCTACACAAAATTTATACAAAAATTAATCATTTTCTATGTGGTGAAGGAGCATAACTCTAGAAATACTCATCAACAAGTTATGTCCCTTGTTTTACACCTATTCCTTGTTCCCATTAGTAAGTATGCTGAGTACAATATACAAGTATTTATGTTAGTTTCAAAATTTTCTATCAATAGCCAACTTTAACAAATATTGAAAGTTAATAAAGGGCATTTAACTCCTTAATATTGTGACTCATGACTCAGAATCATGCCCCTTGTCTAGAAAAGCACCTTGTCATGATTATCAAGTAATAGTGACATGTTTTGTGTTGATACCTTTAAAATTGTTTGAGTAGTCATCCTTAAAAAAAGTTTTTGCACAACAACGACTTTTTCTTAGATAAAGTCAAGGGAATAAGAAAAAAAAGGATATTTATAACATGCAAGCTTGTTAGTCAGGTTATACAAGAAATATACAAGTTACAATGTAGTACATAAGACACTACAAACTGCTAGATATACTTCAACCTTTCATTTATATTATACATGTATAAAGAGATTTCACAGAATTTCCAGTTAAAACATAATGGTGTTTTTTTTTCACTCTTTAACTGATCAGAAAATGTTTTTACCCTTATAAAGTAATGGAAAGCTAGGTATATACAATCCACATATTTTCAAAAATATAAAAAATGAAACTATTCTGCCAATGAATCACCATTGTTTACTTCCACAAATAGAAAACACTTCAATATAAAAGATATCAATAGTTTCTTAAAACTTAGCCATTTCCTTTTTTACAAGTTGTCTAGATAGATCAATTATTCTAACATGACTCATGACTTTGTAACCATAAATAAAGAAGAAAATAACTGGTGTTAAACTGCCAATATACACTGCTTATGGACAACATGTATAATTACTTTTTCATTTTTTTGTGTTGTTGTTTGGTTTTATTGCACACCAACTCAGTTTAGAACATATGTATGCAACATAAAAGATGATTTTGGTTAACCTTGGGTGTTACAAACTTAAAGCAACACCAGGGCCGACTCCAGTAATTTGAACCCATGTAGTTGCCACTTACAATCACACTGGGTTAAATGGTGGCTGCAAATCTGATGCTTTAACCTGTCAAAGGCAACCCCTTCCGCTACAAGGGGTATGCATACTTATACAACCGTTCTTTTTATACATGTACTCTCTCCAATAAAATGGATAAACATAAGGTAAGCAGCAATGCTAACATTAACAATTATATTACTTTAATTGATATCCGTTATCAAATGATACAAATTATCATGATATATATTAATTAGCAAGAAAATTTTTACAAAACAAGCATTATGCAAGCATTCTACAACAGGTTTTTGGTACGTTTTTTCATGAAATATTGTTTTTAAACATTATGAATTTCCTCCCTTGCCGAACTTTCACCATTTGTAGAGTGCAGTATAATGTAAATTCAGTTTTAGTCAGGGCTGACTCAGCAGATCAGTCACTATTATATTATGATGAGTATGGTACTTTTTCTTAATACCTGCAGATCTAAACAAGCAGAAAGGATATACATATTTCATTGAAATGGCAGCTAAAAAGCAAAATATAGCAATAATAGCAGAAAAAAAGACAGCAGTCATCCAAATTTTAATACATTTTCTTTTCCAATCATATCAGTTTACATACAGAAGATGAAGACATCCATACATTATATACCTAGAGTTTAGAATTCAGGTAGTGTATTTCTAAAATTTTGAAATACCAAATTATCAAAGCATATCTGTACTTCAGAATTTTTTAATACCAAATTATCAATGTATATCTATACTTCAGAATTTCAAGGAGTCCATCTTATCAATGAATATCTATACTTTAAGACAAGAGGACTGAAATATCTAGCAGTTTGTATATAAAATGTGCCTTTATACATACATTCCTTATTTAAATGCCTGGCACCCAAATTCTTCAAATCATATATAATTGTCATAGTGTCTAACAGACGTTGATGCTGCAATAAAATCAAGAAACAAAAATAACATAAATACTTCTGTTCTAATAATTAAAAAAAAACAACAACAAAATGAACAATACAAAATAAGCAACAAAACTTATTTATCACATGACATCACTTGTTATTCAATGAACTGTAACCATGAAGTATTCCTTCATATTACAATATATATTTTTTAATGTTTAATTGTTATATACATTAATATAGATGTATAATATCATGGTGGTCGGTCAAACCTCATAAATCAAAAGAAGAAAGTATATAGAGATACATTTGAATTGACTAAAAAGTGTGTAACTAGGAAATGGATCTCCACATTTCTTAGTATAAAGAGGGAAAATCTATGTTAGTTCAGGGAGAGAGTGTGCTCAATCTCGGGTAAATTGCTTTTTTAATGTTTATTAAGGGAGGATACTAACTGTGTTGAACTAAAGAGTTGATATCCCAAAAGGTTGATATCCCTAAATGACTTTATGTTATCTTAATTTACAATAATAGTCACTTGATCAAGAGCTGTCAGAAGGACAGTGTGCTTGATGATTCTCAGGGCTTAATAGTAAAACAAGTTCAAAAAGTGCCATAATTTTGTCAAATCTAAGTTATGGGCCTAACATAATAACTTATTATTATGCTCTCAAATTGTATTTAGTTTCAACTCATTCCCTTCAGTAGTTTTGAAGATACAAAATTGCATGCAAAAACTATACCAAAGTGTGACATTGAAGCCTGTGTGTGTACAAAAGCTCTCTCTATTTTTCGGATAGTCAAGCTAAAAAAATTTTCTGTCTGTGTGACTGTAGCAGATGAATATAGTATCTGTTCTTACTATGATGACTGTCTAAACACCAGAACATTCATTATAGTGTCAATCTTCTCATTCTTATCTATCAACGTAACTAAACTTGTAAACCTGACTTGTAAGGGAGCCGACTTGTAAGGGGGCCGACTTATAAGGGAGCCGACTTATAAGGGGGCCGACTTATAAGGGAGCCGACTTATAAGGGAGCCGACTTATAAGGGGGCCGACTTATAAGGGGGCCGACTTATAAGGGGGCCGACTTATAAGGGGGCCGACTTATAAGGGAGCCGACTTATAAGGGAGCCGACTTATAAGGCGGCCGACTTATAAGGGAGCCGACTTATAAGGCGGCCGACTTATAAGGGAGCCGACTTATAAAGGGGCCGACTTATAAGGGAGCCGACTTATAAGGGGGCCGACTTATAAGGGGGCCGACTTATAAGGGAGCCGACTTATAAGGGGGCCGACTTATAAGGGGGCCGACTTATAAGGGGGCCGACTTATAAGGGGGCCGACTTATAAGGGAGCCGACTTATAAGGGAGCCGACTTATAAGGGGGCCGACTTATAAGGGGGCCGACTTATAAGGGGGCCGACTTATAAGGGAGCCGACTTATAAGGGGCCGACTTATAAGGCGGCCGACTTATAAGGGAGCCGACTTATAAAGGGGCCGACTTATAAGGGAGCCGACTTATAAGTGAATATATACCAGAATCATAATAATAAATTATCTAAACATGTAACCATTGAATGAACAATGCCCTTTCACTTTCAATTTTTTTCCCCTCACAAGAAACAAAGGAAGAGTGGAGTGCAATAGGAAGTTAATAGAAGTGGATTTTATAAGTAATTGTGAATATTCTAATGAAATTGTGTTTGTGCATTGTCATTGAATTTTTGTTTCAATTTTTCATTCTTATAAATAGATATGATGTGATATGATAGTGTAAGGTAGATTTTGTCCTTGTTAATGAACCAAAGGTGACAGAGCCAGGTTTGTGTGCAGTTTTGTCCAGTATTAACAGGCTCTATAATGTTGGTGACTTTAACCTTTCAACTTTGGATGGAATGTTCAAAATTCAAAGCTGGGTAAATTGATTACACACAATGAAAGTTTATTAGAATATCATGTCATATATAATGCTGGCACGGTGTCACATTTCAGCTTCTATTCCTATAACCAATATGCCTTATTGTATTTTTTGTATCCTTTTTTGAAACCAATGAAACCATGGATACAAAACAAAATACAAATCTTATTACTTTGATAGCACTAAATCTATGTTAGATTTTAATCTGAAAGTTAAGGTAAAATGCTTAAAGCAAATTTAAAATAAACATTAGTTCATGCAGAATGTATTTCAGTTTGATTTGTGTAGGAAGCTAAAAGTTTATAGACACTCTCTTGAATACAAAACAATCACACAACAACCTGTGGAGGAAGAGTGGTACAGGGTTACAGCACCAGACTTCTAATCTAGAGGTCGCTGGTTCAAATCTCTTCAGAGTAGAGATTCTCTTTTCAGCTTCCAGTGTCAACACTGGTGCCATTACTATATATGACACCAAGGACAGTAACTGTTATAATGTGCAACTTTTTCAGTTATAAGGCATGATTTAAAGCACTATGTCAATGTCCCCCAAAAAGGGGTTTTAAACATGTTATAAAGGAAAAGCAAAAAAAATCAGCACTTGCACTTATGCTAAATTCAATTCTAACTGATAAATTCAACAGAAAATGCATTTAAATTAATACCAATAAGCAACATAAATAATACAGAAATGTTGTTGCATAAATACAAGCAATATAGACCACTACCACTAGTATTTCTGCGCTGTACAATAATTAATAAACATATAAATGTTCACATGATTGTACACCTATCCAAGTTTCATGCAGAAAAAAAAAAACATTACATTATGCTCTTTTTCAAAACCTAATGCACTGTCCCACTCAGTGAAACAAGAGGCTATCAACAAGTACCTTATAGTTTCACTGGTAAAAGACAAAAACAAGAGCTGTTTACAGGAACAGAGCATTCAAATGTTCTCTGTGCTAATGACAGTATATCAAAAGCTATACTGATTCTATCAACAGAAATAAAGTCTTAGTTAGTGACATTGAATTAAACAAATAACCCTTAAGGTATATTTTGCAGTTGTAAAGAACTAGGATGCAAAACAGGAATTTATTTGTTCACAAAGGGAAACAATTTGGTGAAACATGTTAATAAGACTTATGGGTCTTGGTCAATTATTTTGATTATAACCCTGAAGATGTTCTAAATGAATGCCTTAAATAGTTTATGAGACATGAAGGTGCACCTTTAACTGCAACCAAGTGTAATACAAGTCTAATGATCAAGAAAGAATAAGTTTATTCTGGTAAAAAGGGAAGGTCATCCATAAATTAATTATAATTTACAAAAACCATGAGTGACTTAACAACATTATTATTTTCTCAAATTAACTATTCTCATGACCTTCCAAGATTATCACAATTTCTTATAGAGTAATTTTTTCTTTGAATGTTTAATTTTTTTCATTCCAAACACAATTTCAATTTAGCTTAAATAACCCAAGGGCAAATGAAACATGTGATGAAGAAATTAAATCAAACACTAAGGACAGGCAAAAACATCATATGTGGTTCTATGTACCAAAAATACAGCAACAAAATTCTGTATATCCTACAAGTATACCACTATAATGCATAATAAACACATACTTGTTAGACTGTATGTATTTCTTCAAAGTTTTGAGAAAAAAAAATCACATAAAACATAGAGTAATATTCAAAATAATTTAATCTAAGAATATTTATTTAGTTTAAAACAAATTTATCTTAGTTTGATTGTATAGATAGCTACAGTATAGGTTTATAGAAACACTCTTGAATCTGTTCCGAGAACCATCCAGTACTTAGCAATGAGTGTAAAGTTTCTTGCTTGAGGAAACACAGTTTGAACCCGCACAGCTAAGGCATCTTAGATTTCTTGTCAAATGTGTTAACAAATAGGCCATGCCGCCATAAAATACTTATTTGATATCATATGAATAAAAATCCTTTTTGAAATGCTTCATTTATTGGTAAATATATTACAATGTTATGTTGTTTGATGTAAAAAAACAAACCCAAATTTGCACAAAATTTTCAATACTAAAGACATGTAACTATACATCCTATAATTATATAAAATTAATCTTTCACAAAAAGTAACTAAATCTATGTTATATACAGGTAAGTCAAGTTTTTATTTCAAAATTACTTAACAAGAGCGATCAGTAATCACATGTGTCGCCTCATGATGGCCAATTTCATGTTGGGACAAATTTTGTGACAGACAGACGGACAGTGCACAACTAGACTTCGTACTGATCATTCCTGTAAAGTTTGGATAAAATTGCACCAGTAGTTTATGAGGAGTAGTCCGGACAAGCTTTTGCATATCTGGCAACACACAGAAAAAAACACCTTTTAATCAAAGGGCCATAACTCAACCAAAATCATTCAACCAGAAAACCTGTGCAATATGCCCAAGGACTTGAGCTACAGATCAATCCTGTAAAGTTTCATTGAAATTGCATGAGTGGTA